CTTGGTACAAACTGCTTATATTTAATTTGGGGTGTCTTCTACCTGGGTCTAAGGCCGCGCACATGGATGTTCCTTTGAATGACAAAGACTTCATCCTAACACATGGCTCCAGTAAATGGATCAAACCGGAGAAGGTCTCTGACTTGAAGCGGAAGGGCAACCCAGGCAGGTCAGGTGGTTTGTGAGTGATGTCATACACAGCATGGGGTGCGGGAGCAGAACATGTGCACCTGTTTTTCTCTCCTGGGCCTGCCTTTGATCAAGCACCCAAGTTCCATAGTAAGGCCAACTTTGCAGTAGGTTCAGTCGTAGTGGCACATGTCGATGAACATCTCGGACCTACTTGCTCAACATGGTTTCGATCAGGACTCTTTGGGTTGAAGCTGATGATGTGTTTGGGTTGTTTTGTTTGACTGGTTGCCTGCAAACACCGAGCTGTATCAAATCCAAGCAGGATTTTGGTGGGATGCTGCAGTCCGACGAGGGCGCCACTAAGACCCCACCATGCAAACAGGCGGGATACCAGGGTCACCTGGAGGTGGAAAGGAACCAAATAACAGTGAACATTTGCAGTACTCCTGGACTGCACGTTATGCCCTGACATGCACCAACTCCTGGGAAGGTCCGGTTTGCCTCTCCGTTGCCATCAGCCACCACCGCGACGCCAGTATCTGCACAGAAGCGGGAGGCTTCCATTGGGTGTCAACTCAAAAGACCAGCCAAGACTCTTGTCAAATTGACAAGTAGATTATTAGTTGAAACCTCAGGCAATAGAGCAGCACATTCTTAAACCCGTTGGCTCTGTGTATTATCATCCTTTGTTCCTATGCAGGTGCAAGACCAAAAGATGGTGCATCCTATGAAGCCCAAGGCTTTGGACATGCCATCTATTGAAGACCAGAAGCCTAAAGATCCTGCCGCAGAGCCATCAAAAGGGGTTGAGGAGAAGAAGATACTCCCTATGACTACATCTGAATCAACGGACACGAACAACCCTCAGTTGACTCCTGAACGTGTTGCGGCCCTGAAGGAGCAAATCCAACAGGCTCAGGTCAGTGCAAAGGGTCAGAAAAAAACAGAGGCCAAGGCCAAAGCGGCTGCAGAACCGAAAAAGAAGGCTGGAAAGACTCAGACAAGGAAAATCAAGAAGGTGCAGGAAGAAGAAGAAGAGAACTCCTTGGACTCAGAGGAACCCTTATCGGAAGAGGAAGAGCAGGAGGGGCTCACAGATGAGGAAGAACAAGCAGAGGATGAAGAAACAAAGAAGACAAAGACAAACAAGAGTTTGAGCAAGCACAAAGGCGAGAGGCGCACAAGAAAAGACGCAGACTCAAACAAACCTGAGCCAAAGAGTGCTGTTGAAACCAGAAAACAATTTTTGAGGGACAGCTGCAAAGAAGGAACACCAAAAGACCAGGAGACCACGCAGCAGAAGAAGCAGGCCAAGGCCACAAAGGAAGCACGTTCGGATAAGGGAGCAGCAGCAGGAGAGACAACCAAGAAGATGCCAGATCAGAGGAAGAGGAACGAGGACAGCAAAGACAAGCACAACAAGCCAGAAGACATGGACGACAAGGAAGAGGAAGAGGAGAAGGCACAAGCTGAGGCTGTACACGAGCAACTAAAGAAGGCAAAGACACAGCAAGCATCAGCAGCAAAGGCAAAGACACAGCAAGCATCAGCAGCAAGGGTCAAGAAGGATGACCAAGCTGAGGAGAATGATCAGGAGGAGCATGAGGATGAGAAGAGTGCA